TAGGATAAATCAGAAGTAAATAAATGAAAGGAGATACTAGAATTAAGAGGGGTTTAGAAAGGCTACCTGTAGACTACAGGATTTTAAAAGAAGTCAGTGACACTAATAGGCAGAGATGAAGAGGAAAAGCATTCCAGAACAACCAGAAAAATGTCCCAGAGCCAGGAGACAGAGTGTTTTGTTGTGGGACAGCAATGAGGCCAATGTCAGTGGATCAAAGAGTATGTGGTGGGAGGTAAGGTGTAAGAAAGGTAGAAGGAGACTATGTTACGAAGGGCTTTGCATGCCAATTTGAGGATTTTGTATTTGATTCTGTAGGCAAAAGGGAGCCACTAGTGTCTAATGAGGGGATGGAGGAGTTGACATAGTCAGACGTACACTTTAGGAAAATCATTATGGTGGCTGAATGGAGGATGGATTAGAATAGAAAGAGACTTGAGGTCACCAATAGGTTACTGCAAGAGTCCAGGCATAAAGTGATGAGGGCCTACACTAGTGGTGGTAGTGCCAGATTAGAGAAGGGGGAATATTCAAGAGATGCTGCAAAAGAAAAAAGCAACAGATTACATATGAAGGGTAACAGGGAGTGAGAAGTTGAGGGTGATACCTTGGTTGCAAGCCTGAGGGACTGAAAGAATGGTACTGCCTTCTAAAGTAATAGGGAAGGGAGTAAGGAGGGCCCAAGACAGAAAAATGCTATGGGATACCTACAGGTAAAGAGTGTGATCTGGATGAGGATCCAGAAAAGAAGACTGAGAAAGAGCAGTCAAAGAGGTAGGAAAAGAACCAGGAAAGAATGGTGCCCCTCAAAAAGAGATGATAGTGGTGTTTCAGTGGAACTTTGGGCTTCCACAGGCAACTCTTTTGTTTCCTTTGATAGAGTATTACATGACTTTGAAAAAAAGAATGAAATATATTTGATTAATAATAAAAATAAAAGAATCAAAATTTCACAAGCACTAACTTCCTACAAAGTCACCTGAGAAAGCAGTACAATTATTCTAATGGTGCTGTCATTGCTCAAAACACAGGTGGGATCCTTCTTTTGGAACTGACTTCAGAGACAATGTATATGCCACGTGAGAAAATCTTAACTCATGCCTTTACCACCACCACCCAAAAATCCACAGTACTACTTATCATGATCAGACTCAATTATGGCTTTTACTATTTCCACAATTCAAATCTATGCTCAGAGAGTAAAACTGTGCCAACATTGAGGCTTTGAAGACAATCCCAAAAGAGCTACAAAAATGTTTTGGGCAATAGCAGCTTGCTGTAATAAGGCAGAAAAGGGATAAGCATTTATATAGTGTCTATTATGCATGAGGCACTGTGTTAATTAAGTGCTTTACAACATTATCTCATTTGATTCTCACAAAAGCCCTACAAGATAGATGTTATTATTCTACCCATTCTATAGTTGGAAAAAAAATGCCCTGGATCAAACAGCTAGTAAGTGTCTGAAGCTGAATTCAAACTCAGGTCTTCCAGACTCCAGTCACAGCACTCTATCCAATATGCCACCTAAATGTATAGCTTCTTTGAAAGAGACAATGCCCACTATTATATGGATAAGTTTAAATACTCTGACTCAATGTTTTATGATCACATCCCTATATGTGACCAGATAGCTCAGGAATATTTATCTAAGAAGTCAATCTGTGTATTGTGTTTTAAGAACATTTTCTAGGCAAGTACTCTTTGATATAATCAGCACATGCCTAAACATTAAAGGTTAAGGAATTCTTAGTGTCATACCAATGGACAGCTATATGACAATGAGAAATTCACAACTTCAGTTTTCCCAGCTCATAAACGAAAACAAAAAAGTACATGTTATACAGTTGTTTTATTAGAATAGTCTAGATAATAACTCATAAAAGACTTGCAAATATAAAACCCTGTTGAAATTATAAATATCAACCAATCAAGCAAGCATGTAAATGCCTACTACATATCAGGCAGCTCCTAAATGCTGAGGATACAAAGGCAAAAATCAAAAATACTTCCTCTTCTCATGGAGCTCACAATCCAGCTTAGGGGAGGGGAGAGGAAGAGAGAAGGGATGGGACCAGCAAGAAGGACAACATATGCATGTTTCTGTATCTGGCAAATCAAACAAAATAATTTGGGGGTAAAGGCCTTAGCAACTAAGGGGATCAGGAAAGGCCTCATAGAAGAGGAGATCCTTGAGCTGAATCTTGAAGAAAGAAAAGGATGAAGGATTCTGAGATGCAGAAGTGAGGAGGGAATGCATTATAGGCACGTGAGAGAGCCTGTGTGAAGGCCCAAAGGCAAGAGACAGAGAGTTGTGCATGAGGAACAGCCAGGAGGTCAGTGTGGCTGGACTATAGTATATACAGAGGGGAGTCTCATCCAATAAGATTGGGAACGTATGTTAGAACTAATTTGTTACGTGTTTAAGTGTCAAACACAGTATATTTGATCGTGGAAATAACAGGAAGCCACTAGAGTTTACTGAGTTGGAGAGTAATGTGATCAGATTTGTGCTTCAGAAAAATCATTTTGGTAGCTATGTGAAGGATGATTTGGAGAGGGGAGAGATCTGAAGCAAGGAGACTAATTAAAAGACTATTTCAACAGTCAGGGCAAGAGGTAATAAGGGTTTGAACCAGGGTATTAGCTGCATTGAGTAGAAATAGGGACAGATATTGTAGAGGTAGAAATGACAAGATTGACCAACCAACTTGTTCTTTATCCCAACCAAAGTAGATATTAGTACCAGAACCTAATTTTTCATTTAATTGAAAGAATTACACAGTAACTATGATAAAATAAACAAGGTCAGGGGGAGAACAATAAGAAATCTAAAGGGGCAGCTAGGTAGCGCGGTGGATAGAGTATCAGCCCTGAAGTCAGGAGGACCTGAGTTGAAATCCGGCCTCAGACCAAACACTTGACACTAGCTGTGTGACCCCAACTGCCTAAAAAAAGAAAAGAAATCTAAGTCATAACCAGAAGAAAGTTCAGTTAAATGCAGAACAGGCTCCTTATCTCACTGAGCCACCTATTTACATTTAAAAGAAAGTATTTCTGCAGTCATCTTTAATGAACAAAACAAGAATATTAATTCACATTTTGTAAAACCTTTTAAAGCATAGCAGGTTTTTTTTTTCAAAAGTATCCTAGTGTCACACCAAGTTTGTATGAAATATGTAAAAATAAAGGTGACCAAAAGCAGCTACTATGAGTCCCTACAGAAAATGTATGAAGTAGTCTGGAAACTCTGATTAAAAGCAACAACATTATTAAAACAGTACCTGACGATACCAACTTTTTAAAAGATTTCATTCATCATCAAAATAACATTGAAAAGAAAAGTTGAAAAATGGTTAACATTTAATTGACACAGAAAAATGTGGTTCTGCAACAGTACCAGGACAAAGCTAGGTGATGCAACAACATCCAACCGTAATGAGCTCCAAAATACTACAGACATCACTCAGAGAAATGCACTTTTTTCTCTGTTCTCCACTCCCCTCTTTTTAAAAAGACTGCCTGCTTTATAGGGTGACTGTAATAGGATCCTATGATCATTGCTGATTGTAGCTAGAAACAGACCTTTCTAATCCATCTGCTCTCCACTTCAACAAATGCCATTAAAAACAACTTCATAAAACCATTACTGCTTCATACTTAAAAGACATTAAGTCAAGATTTTGGAAATTCCATTCACTTGATATCAGCAAGTGCACTATATGTTAGGTTTATCATTAAAGTAAAATCCATGAGAACTGTTTTCCAGACTTTAGTTAATGCTCCTATGACACATTTGGCCAATGAAAGTGGATGAAAAACAGTAGTGCTTTGAAGCGTTAGCCAGTAAATGCCGCTGTGGTTTAGCATGAGTGGGATGCACAACATATTAGACCACAGTTAATTAAATTAAACTAGTTCTTATGTTTTTGAAATGTGTCCCATATTACTTGTTTGGAACCTACACAACTGCTTTTAAACTTTAAGATTTTCCCGCTGTAGTAAACAGTATCTGCTGTATCTATGTGTAATTAAATCAGTAAGTTGCTACCCCTGTTTTGTGCTTTATTGTAATATCTCAAGGCAAAGTGAAATGAAAAAGTCATTTTATTTCTGCTTCAGTCTCAGTTTCATATTTTATATGAAAGTAGTTTCAGTTTGCTTAACACATGAAGAACAAGAGAAAAAAGATCAACACTTATACTTAAAGGGGAAATGAGATAATTCGTATAAAATATTTTGCATAGTACTACTCTTTATGTATAAACTACTTCAGAATGTACTTTACTTCTTTTGAAAATCTGTCTATTGAATATAGATTTAATGTAATGCTTAGTCAAAAAGAAAAAATGCTTGGCAATGGTTTCGATTCTCTACTTTTTGAAACTTCTAAGAAATCCTTCATATTCTACATTTAGCTATGTGATCTGCTGGGTTATTAAATATACTAGAAACTATTCCTCTTCCTCTGAAGAATTTCAGCTACAAATAGCTGGTTTTTCACTTGAAAATTTTACTCTAAATTTATCTAAAATTCTGTTCATTTTAAATAATTTCCTAATTACACTGGAATATAGAGTATCAAGGCTGTGTTATTCTGCTTTCCTTTATAAAGTATTTTGGCTTCAGGGTATTCAGAATAAAACGTTAGTTATAGGATTGAAATTATGCAAATCTCCTTTCATTGTGAATTCTACTTCATCTATAGATTTGTAAAGTTTAAGGAAGTAGAAAGGCACATAGTTATTAAGATAATTTAAGGAAGAAATTGAATTTCTATCAAATAATTATTTAGATAATATCTAAACCTTCCACTTAGCTTTGGCTACAAAATAGGTTTGAATATTTGGATTTTGGAAATTCAACAAAGTCAAGATCTGCCATACTGATATTTTAAGCAGCCGCAACTCATAAGCGTGACAAATGACATTATCCATTAAACACCCATCAAATTTCTGAAGGCAACTATCATGTCTGTCTCTCTCTGGTTTTCTCCCTAGGCTGAATATCTCCACTTCCCTTCACTGATTCTTGTATGACAGTTTCCAATCACACAAACTAGTCACTTCCCTATGCTCTGGACCTGCTACAGAAAACTCTGGAAGGTGAGCAGTAAGTATTATAATCTCACTTTTACAAGTGAAGAAACTGAAGTTCAAAGAGGTTAAATTAGTAATTTATGGTCACAGGTAGGAACTGTCTACCTCTGAACTGGTCCTACAGCCCAGACCTGAATGTAAGAGCAAAGTTCTTTCCCTCTTGTGCCCTATCCTCTCAGAAATCTTTACCTCTTATCTGACCAAGAAAAAAAATCCTGTCACCCCTTTCTATACACTTTCTATTTGCTTCTTCTTGGGGATGTGGATTCCTCATCCCCAATGAAGCAGAAGTTCTTTGAAGGCAGATTATTTTTAGCTTTGTGTCCCCAATAGCTAAAAGAGCGCCTTGTGCAAGTAAGCTCTAAGAAATGTTCACTAAAAAGGACTGAATGATATCATTGCTTTGTCTGAAGTAAATTGAAATGTAGCAGCCACGTGATCTTAAATAATTCAAAACCATGCTTTTCTAAGCTTTCTGACAGGTGATCACACAGATTCTGCTTGAATACTTACAGCAATACAAAACTCATTAATAACCAAGGTATTTCATTCTGAGGATGACTTCAGTTATTATAAAGTTCTTCCTTATTTCAAATGAAAATTGACTCTGCAAGTTCCATTAAGTGGTACTTTCTTTGCACTCTATAATGGGGGGAATGGGGAGGAGAAGGGGGACAAGAGAGGGAGGGAAGGAGGGAGGGAGAGAGAGGGGGAGAGAGAGAGAGAGAGAGAGAGAGAGAGAGAGAGAGAGAGAGAGAGAGAATGCTTTTCCTATATATATAGATATATATATATATGTATCTATATATGTATATATATAGATATATATATATCTATATATCTATATATATATATCTTCTGTGTCCTCTTCTCCAAGTTAAAATTCCTATTGCCTCAATGACATGGTTTCCAGGCTCATCAAGCTGTGTGCCTTCCTCTAGACATGCTAAAATTGATATGTTCCTCTTAAAATATATCTAATTAAAATGCAAACAGTCCCATGACAAATACAATTACTCACTACCACCTTAGCATGAAATTACCTTTCAGACAAATTTTCAATGGGACAGCTAGCAGGGTACAAGGACAAAAGCACCTCTGTACCCATTTAAAAAGTAAAATTGTAATAATTGCAGAAAATATGTTACAGCCTGCCTGGGGCAAGAAATTATAGGTGCAACACACCATGGAGTTAATATGGGGCAACTGGATTATGGGAGGGGAGACAGGAAGAAAGACAGGAATAATGAAAGAGTTCAGTGTGACAAACACAAACATTTCATCAAAACACTTCATTCAATCAGTAAATATCAAGTGATTATTATATTCTAGATGTTGAAGATAACTATAAAAATGAATTCCTGCCTTCAAGGAGCTTGCATTCTTTCAGGGAAAAACAACACATATACAAAAAAATTACATACAAAATTCTATAAAAAGTAATTTCTGAGGAGAGGGTACTATCAATTGGTGAGATAAGGACAGGTGTCACATAGAAGGATAACTATGGAAAGTCCCTTTCTGAATACAGTTATCTGTCTTCCAGTTTTTCCAACTGTCTTATTCCTCCTAAACTTGATTCTTTTGTTATCCCAATAAATAACCCCTGTTCTGACTCTGTGGTCTTCCTTTCAGTCTGGAACCAACAATTAAATAGTTTAACAAGGTACTGCCATTCAACTACATCTAGAATTGTTGTGAAGATCAATGAAAAACACACTTTATAAGCCTTAAAATACTATGTAAATATAAGCTATTTTTTTCATTTTTATTCCTCTTTTGTTGTTTAAGTCATAGAAATACCTGCATGACCCTAATATGAACTTTCTTTCCAGCTACTCCAGAGCCACTGAAAACAACTAAAGAGCAAAATACAGAATAATCATGACAACTGGGTCAATTACAAATCTATGCTATTCAACTTTGACTGAGTGCTCACTACACTGTTGTGACTGACAATCCTCACACAGTCAGATCTCGCTTTACGTAAATTTGCATCACACAAATTCAACTTTTAGTAAAGAATTCTGAAAGAAATCCACCGCCCCCCAAAAAAACCCTGTTAACTTTACAGTACAGTGCTCTCTCTTCTCACTCCTGCCCCTCAATTCTGAGTTTCACAGCCTCCTATCCCCCCCACCAAAAACACACACACACACACACACACACACACACACACACCCAAGTGAAAGCAGGAGAGACCTCAGAGACGAATGGGGGCTTGACTTGAGACCTCTACTTCCACACCCCAACATGTTCTTCCTCTCAGTTCCAGCCAGGCCCCAACATGGCTGGCCAGGGCCTGCCTGTTTCTTTATCTGCTCTCATTTCTTTGTGTACTTGAACTATGTGCCAGCACCCACCCTCCACAGCTGCATGACCCCCTTCTTGCCTCTCGCTCTCCCTTCCTTCCCCAAGTCCTTGAGCAAAATCCTTGGGAAAGTTAGATTTATGTAATTCTTATGTAGAGGTCTGCAGATCACTCTACTTACGTAAAGAGAGAACTGCATTTATTTCTCACACTCACTTTTCCACATTCCTCACCAAGATTTTTCCCAATGATCTTTCCTCAAAACCTCAACTAAAAATGGCTAAATGTCCATGGGATATTAATGGAAACTACAGTGGATCTGGATTCAAAGGACTGGGTCCAAATCCTGGCTATGCCATTTATGGTTACTTGAATGATCTTCAGCAAATTATTTAAATTGTAACCTTAGTTTCTCACTCTGTAAATGGAAGGGGTTAGATTACATGAAGGTCTCTTTCAATCCTAAATCTGTGATTCTATGAATTCTAATTTCTCCTACCTAATCCCTCTTAGAAAACACCCTTCCAGGGGCAGCTATGTGGCACAGTGGATAAGCTCTGGCCTTAGAGTCAGGAGGACCCGAGTTCAAATCCGGCCTCAAGACACATGACACTTACTAGCTGTGTGACCCTGGGCAAGTCACTTGACCTTGGCTGCCTCACCAAAAAAAAAAAATGCCCTTCCTTATTATTTCACCTGGAAGATTGAAGTAATCTGAAGGTATTCTCTCATCTCTTCTATTCTACAACTCAAAACCTCTCACCAGCTATATTTATCTCCTCCTTTTCTCTATTTTTAGAGGATTCATTAGCATTTCTTCTTGCCAAGACTTGTATCTTTTTGATCCCACTGATTACTATCTTTATCAGTGCAGTATGTAATACACACTCCCCAATGTCTGAAAAGAATGGAAGGTACATTCTTCTACTCTTTTCTGGAAACAAGTTTGATCATCATAATTTCATTGCATGTAATTTTGATTTTTGCTGTTGTTATTTCCATTTATATTGTTGCACTTGTGATTATTATTTATAAGCCTTCCCACACTTCTCTGTATTTTTCAAATTAATTTCTTATGATGTAGTAATGTTCTTTACGTGCAGGTACTACAGTCTAGCCGTTTATTAACAGGCTCTAATTTTATTTCACTTATGTTAACCACAGTATTTCTGGAAAATATGGCAACTCAAGAAGGCAGGTTAAGTTGGCTTCAGGGCAACAGTTAGCAGAAGTGTTCCTACAAATATTTTGGTACATATAGGCCCATTCTTTTTAGAAAAGAATTGGAAACACAGTAGTGCTGAAAACAAAAATAGCCATCAACTGGGGAGTGATTAAACAAATGGTGGTACATGGATGGATCAATGGATACGTACATATACAAATATAGGCACAAAAATATGTACAATATAAGATGAACATTAAAAAAGAGAGAATCATGGGAAGATATATGAATTAACATAAAGTGAAATAACCAGAACCAGGAAAATAATATATACAATGACAACAATGTAAATGGAGGACAAAACACAACAAATTAAACAGGATGCTATTTAATTATAATGATGAAGTTTGGCCCCAAAGAATAGAAAATACAACTCCCTCACTTCTTTGGAAAGGTAAGGTTTATAAATGTGGATCACTTCACATGTGACATTTGGTTGATGTATTGATTAGTTTTGGTGGACTGCTTTTTCAACTCAGCTCATGCTTTATTACAAGAGAAGGCTGAGGAGGTGACAGGGATACATTTGGAAATGAAAATAATATAAAAAAAGGCATGAATAAAATACTTTTTAAAGTAAGCATATAGGTCAGCAGTTATTGATGTTCTTTCATTGCTTTGGGCAATATTAATACTATATATGGTTTTTTCTCTTTTCTTTTGATATTTCTCTCTCCTCTGAATTAGCTAATGAAGCAATCCCTTGACAATATGGTGCCTCCAGCAAAGATTTACTGGGAGCAAATTTATTTAGTCATTCACTCTTTCTGAATATGGCTTCTCAAGTGTTATTTCTGCATTTTCAGTGTTAGGATCCAAATGTGGTGGTTCCTCTGATGTTTATTCACCAACTATAAAGGATCTTGCCAAGGTCATCCACTGCATCCTGAGCACTGTCAATCATCCTGATTTTTGTCTTACTACTGGATTTCAATGAAGCTGGAAGAAGAGTGAGGCTGACAACTTTGTGCAACTCTGCCTCATTTAAATTCAATTAACGCAAAAGTCAAGACATCACCCCATGATGTCACCCCTCTTCGAAAATGAAGAACAAACAACAACACAGAGGATTTTAATAAAAGCTTATTGAACTTATGATGAAAATAGATTCCATGTACCTTTAAAAAATTTCTTTGCCCCTGCCATTCCTTCAAGTAATCCTCCTATACCTATTTTCTCTTTCACTGCTGATCTTCTAGAAAGTCTACATTTCTTTCCTACTGACTTATTCCTCAATCTTTTTTAATCTGCCTTTGCTCTCTACTAAAACCATATTTTGGAAGGTTACTAATGACCTTATAATTGCTAAATGAAAGGCCCTTTTCTGAGTTCTCACTCTAGTTGACTCTCTTCTGAAAACTCTTTGCTACGTGAACTTTTGTGACACTATCCCCCGACTACATGATGAATTTGTCTTCAGTTTCTTTCAGCTTCCTCCTACTACCAAAGCTGTATCATACATTTTCTTCCATATGTTTTTATACTTTCTCCCTAGATGAACTCAACTGCTCCTATAAATTCAACCACCACCTCGACAGAGATGATTCAAAATCTATACAGCAAGCCTTAATACTCTCTTACCTAAACTCTAAGACCAGCTCTCCACCTACATGTTCAACAAACTTCTCAGAGACAGCAATACAATGTGTATTGAGATAGTGCTTTTTAGGGCTTGAATTGTAGTGTTAATTCAGATATGTAACTATTCAACTGAAAGCCACAGGCACTCAAAATATTAATTAAACAGAAAAGAAGGTACTTGTATTTTTGGGTGGATAACTGTGTGGGATGAAGGCCTATGAGTTAAGGATAAATCTCCAAATCCAGAAAGAATGACAGTAGTCCTAGAAGCACTTTTTAGGATATATGTAGGGAACCTGGGATCTTTAAAGTGCTCTGCACCATGCCAGAGTTGTGCTCAATTACAGTAAGGGACTAGTTAAACTTTAAAGACCCTGATCACATTCCCATGTTGAGTTTAAAATACCTATGCATGACTCTTAGACAGTAAATTTTAGTTGCTTTTTTCACAGCTGAAAACATGCAAAGCGCTGACAAAAAGCCATCTATAAAGAGTTATTATCTGCCTATAATTGAAGTACCTCAACTTCTCAATTATCTCAACTCAAAACACATACACACACAGCAACAACAGGGCTATATAAAATCCGAACATAACCTGCAATCACACCCAGAATGACTTTTGTTTGCCCCATAGTGTAGTGTTCCTCTAGTAAGAGGTAGGGGTTAAGTAGACTTTAGAGTTCATTGCTACCATCCTCCCTTTATTTCTCTTCCTCAGCCAACCATGAGGTAAATTTTCCAATAATATCTATGTGTGGCAAATATTACATGTCCTAGGCCTCTCACCTCAGCTGGGCTAGTTCTATATTATAAACATATGCTGCTGCCTCCAACTTTCACAATAAATATATGCATGTCTATATATTTTAATGTAGGAATCTGTGTAATTTTTTTTCTGTACATGCTTATGTCCTTTTTAAAAAAATTTCACAAGGATTCCATTTTTAAAACACTATCTATATTAACTGAAGTAGTTTATTTTTAAAAAACTGACTTCTTAACCTTGTATGCTATCCAAAGTTAGGAGATAGAACCTAAATTTAGGAAAAAAAATTTTGGTAATGAATTTATAGATGATAATCCTCTGAAAATTGCCCAGAATATTTTGTAATGAACAAAAGGAGAAGTGAATTCAAAATAACTATTACTATATCCAAAGACTGTCATTTTCCAGGATGTCAAAGGAAGAAATAACACAATTTCCTCATCTGTAAAATGGGGTCACTAAGTTCAAGGCTAAATCTGAACCTTTTCTTGAAAAGATATTGTAAGTTTCATTTTTTATTTTGACTTCAAATTTTTCAACAGAACTCAACCAGGATTTTCATGTAAACCTCCTTTAACATAAATCAATGTTCTGAACATTTAAAAACCATAAGAATAAAGTAAAATACTCTTGTCACCTTATTTATTCAGAATTCAGCTAACTGACAACTTTACTTGCTGGGAACATAGCCTACAATCAAGACGTAAATTTTTTTAAGTAAGTAATAAAAGCTGAAATTTAAATGCTACTTTAAAGACTTTTTAAAAAAAATTTATTGATATGTTACATTTTTATATTACAAACATTTACAGATTAGGTTATCCTAATTCCAGGAGAGGTCTCTTATAACAAAGTACTACTATTAAGTAAAACTAATAATACAGTGACCTCATCTGAAAGCGCATGCAACATTCCACATCTGCAGCACCCCCTCACCTCACTATTTTTTTTAATTAACAGAAACCTATTTACTCTTCCTCCTATCTACCCTACCCCCATCCTACAGGAAAAAAAGGAATGAAGAAAAAAGAATCCTTTTAACAAATATGCATAGTCAAGGAAAACAAATTTCCTCAATGGCTTTCAAGTTTAAAAAAAATTTAGAATACATTATTTTATTTGTTCCTTAAAACAATTCTTCTGCAATGTAGATACTGAGAGAATATTCTCATTTTATATATAAGGAAGCTGAGGGACCAGAAGTTAACTAATTTGACTATAATGACAGGACCACAGAATCAGAGCTGGAGGTCACCGTGACCTTAAAAGGCCATCTGGTCCAATCCCTTCACTTTAAAGATGAGGAAAAACTGATGCCCAGCAAGGTTACGTGACATGCCCATAGTCATTCACACAGCCAAGTCACTGACAGAACCAAAATGTGAACCCAGATTTCTGCTAAATCTAACTTTATTGCTCTTTCCACTCCACTATGCTTCCTCAGGGCAAAAAGGCACATGAGTACGCGCACTTGCACGCGCAGACACACACACACACACACACACACACGACGTACATATAGTCCTATGATTTCACAAAGTGGGTAACACCCTCCACCAACGCAGATCAGAACTATGGTCCACAGACAATTGCCTGGGATGCTGAGGGAGGATAAATGACTTACCTCTGTTCACAAAGTCAGCTTGTGTCAGATACAGAACTTAAACTAGAATACTTTCTTCAAAGCTGACCATGTATTTAAAAGAAGATGGAGAGTAGTGTGTAAGAAACAGCAAGACAGCCAGCAGCCCTGGATCAGAGAGCATTTGGATGGAGTAAAGTGTAAAAAGACCAGAAACATGAAAAATAAAGTGTAAAAAGACCAGAAATATGAAAAATAAAAAACATGAAAGGGGATAGATTGTTAAGGGCATTAAATGCCAAAGAGAAGAGTATTTTACATTTAATTCTGAAGATGGTCAAGTCAGGTAACATTTATTAAGTGCCTACTATGTGCCTGGTACCACGATGAGTACTAGCTATTTAAAAAAAAAAAAAAGGTAAAAACAGTCCCTGATTTCAAAGAGATCATATTCTAAGAGGAAGACACCATGTAAACAGTAAGGCACTAAGGTAACAGGAAAAGACTGGTGTGGGGTGATGTGGTAAGACTTACACTTCAGGAAAATCACTTTGGCAGGTGATGGACTGTAATAGAGAGAGGACTCCAGGCAGGCAGAAAACCAGAAGTCTACTGCAACAGTCTTCCAGACATAAAGCCTACCCTAGAGTAATGACTGTGTGAATGGACACAAAGCTTAACTGTCAGTGAAAACTTTATTGAGGGTAGGTAGAGAAAAAGCAGCAATTAGAAAATAAATTTCATCAGACAAGGATAGACCAAGAACAGGGAAATCACTTAAGAGACTTGAAATAGTACAGTGGGGTGGCCAAGTGTTAGTCACCTTGCTAAGTGCTGGAGACAGAAAGACAGAAAAAATAAAAATAAAAAAAGATACGCTCTCAAGAATCCCACATTCTAATAATCCAGGTATCTAAATATAAGAGCTATGATGAGGTGCACAGCAAATAAAAAGTGAAAGGAGAAATCAACTATAAAGAAATTAAGACTGAAGAAATCAACTAGACACAGGGACAGAGGTCAAAGGCAAAGTGAAGGATGACTTCAAGATCTCATATCTTGGTGACTAGTAGAATGACATACATAAGTAAAACTCTAAGACCCCTTGCAGCTTTAAATGTATGGTGTGATATAATCCTATCTGCCTGAGTTTGGAAAGGAACTGATTTAGAAGGAAAGACAATAAGTTAAATTTCAGATGCACTGAGTTTAAGATCATAGCTAGATGATTTATTGGAATTACATAGCAGGCATACAGAGGTTCAGGAAGGTTATCTACAGTGGTGATATAATTTGTGAATTAAATGAAATAAAATGTGGCTCATGTTCCCTACCATAAAGCATTCCATCCCTTGTGCTGTATACTGAGCTACAATCGCTTACTTCCAAATACCTACTGGAAATCTCTACCTGGATTTCCTAGGTTGCACCTCAAACTCCACATGTATGAAACTGAAATCACTGGTTTTGATCCTAAATCTTTCCTTCTTCACAATCTCCCTATTTTTGTTGATGGCACCATCATCCTCCTAGTATTCAGCCTAGAATCCTCAAGGTCACGTAGGCATGAAAGAGAAGGAATTATCAATCGGATGACAAGTATGTTTCATTCTGTATCTTTTATACACATTCCCATTGCCACTAGTCAACTTCAGGTTCATCCTCCTTTGCCTGGACTCTTGTAACGGCTTCCTAAGTAGGCAATCTGCTGCCTTTCTTTCTCCTCTCTAATCCTTCCTTTATACAACTGCTAAATCAATAATCCTAATGAACAGATCTGACTATGCCATTACATCTGATCTGACCTCAGATATTGAATGGTTTCTTGGTACCTACTGAACAAAGCACATATTACTTTATCTGTTACCAATCTGACATCAGCTTAGCCTTATAGACTTATTTCACCTTATTCTCCTTTTCACATTCCACGTTCCCATCAAACTGAACTACTGGTAGTTTCTAATCTCATCTTGCTCTTCTCTAGCTTCTGAACCTTTACACAGACCAGTACTCAGGCACAAAAGTCAAACTCTGTCTTTAAAAACGCATGAGGTACCACTT